TTCTATTTATAATTTTTATTTCGAGTATCTTTTTTAATTAGCTTATTCTTTCATATGTTGAATACGTTTTTGATTATTGTGTAACGGATGTTAATCAAAATTTTTATTACGCTTTCACATTTAATATTTTTAATACATACATATTCATTTAAATTCCGAGGCCGTCACATAAAGTCCCTTAGCTCAGCTCTCACCTGAGTCGCCTCCCCTGATTCTCTGCACCCTTGGACTTTGTGACCTTGCTAATTCTCCAGTTCTAGCAGCGTCTCTGCTTAACTCACAACTATTGCTCTCCTCAGTCTCCCAGCTCCAGCTTGTTGCTTGGTACTCATTTATGTATAAATTATTTATAATTTTATTTGATGTTCTAATTAAAAAATTCAGTCCATCTGGTTCTAATCGAAACGAGATCCAACCTAATAAAGTCCAGTTTTTTATCCAAAAGTCTAGTTTTTTATCCAAAAGTTTAAAATTTTTTTAGTCCGGCTCCAGACCCGATCTGATCTTGAGCTGACGCACACTGCTAAACTTAAACCCACACATTCAGAAAAATGAACTACGGTATCATCCATCCAAAAAGTAATTAGTGTGTGTGTGTATCTCTATATATATATATATATATATATGTATTAGCAATAAAATCCAATAGCAGACACTTAACACTTGAATTTTAGTTCAAATTACTAAACAAATTTCCATTGATGGACTATGTAAAAACACAGGTTTGGCTCTTGAGATAGGTGCAGGTTGAACACTTGGACAACCTCAGAGTATTACAGAAATGGCTTGGTCACTTGAGCTTCAAAAAAAGGGCTATCTACTTTAACATGGATAACCCCAACTTCAACGAAACACTGTTTCTGAGTACATGTATATGCGCACTAAATCTCAATAACTGCAAATAGTGAGATATCAGAGACTTACAGAAAAACCATTAATAACTAAAATCCCAAATTCAAGAACCAAAACAAATATACATATTTGTACCATGTATACACACATGAACAATTAAAAACAGGTAAGTTGTCAGGCACTATTGTTCATGACATGTTATTTCACAACCCCACAGCAATAGGCTTCCTGGACACCGATTGTGTATACCGTTCAACGGTAAACTGGCAAGTATGAAACCCAAATATTCTTTTCTGAAAGGAAGCTACTTGGCAACAATACAACATTTTCAAAGAAGCCCTCTTCTTCTCTTGTAGTCACTAACTGTCAAGGTCAAACCATGCCTCCTCCCATCATTCTCTGGCACACAGCATCCGACTGTTGCTTCTATCATTTGCTTCCTTGCCATGAATCCTTTATGAGCTCCATGGGGTCCGCCATACTTTTGAAGCATAGACAATGATATCGGAAGCTCAAAGTCATGCAGAAGATTCGATTCTGTTCCTTGATCCACGGGAGCGCTTGTGTCAACCAGCTTCCCAGCACCAGCAGCAGCTTGTAGTGCTGCAGCCGTAGCTGCAATGCCAGTAACAGATGCTACTGTGGCTCCTGGTCCTGATCCTGCTCCATTACTCTCTGAACCTGCCAATGCACTATTTGCATCAACATTTGCTTCTAAATTACCCTCTTGTCCACCAGGTTTTGCAGCATAATAGTTTCTTGATCGAGTCCACCTCCTTGATAATGGATCATATCCAGCCTCCCCAGCTTTTAAACTTGTATTAACAGGTTTAAGTTCTGATGCATTTTTAAAATTCTCCACTCTGTTCTTTCTGTTCATCTCAGCTAGCCTAAGAGCCTTGGCATCCTTCCCCTGCGACTGCCTCGATGCCTCTAGTTGCTGCAGTCTTGTCTTGATTCTCTCCACCTCTGCATCGTCATGCTTGCTCTGTGCAACTTCCAACTCCCTCCTAAGCCGATCCTTCTCAGCTGCAATATTTAATGGCCTTATCGAGGCTGATTTTTTCTCTTTCAACATCTGCTTCACAGTTGCAGCAGAGTAGACAAATGTGTTGATTTTTTTAATGGCCTCTTTCTTGTCCAACACATCTTGTTTGCTCAGCATCCGCCCCCCACTTCGTTCAACCTCCCTAATCCACTGTTTAAACTCCTCCTCTAGCGGTGCAGAGTCAGAAACCATGGCCATCTGCCACCTGGCAGCAGAGCTGTCATTGCCCCAAATGCAATTCAGATATTTATATGTTGTCTTATTTTCTAGCTTGTATGTCCTGTCAGGATCCGTAGCATCAACATTCCGCACTATGCAAAGCCTGTAGATGGGCCCACTCCTTGACCTCCCAATGCCAACCCTCACAAAGCATCCTACAATCAGCTCCTCGAAGAAAGGCTCCATAAACCATTTTGCAAGTTTTGACCTCCTGATTGTAATTTCCTTAATATCCTCAAATTTTGGTCCCTCTGACCCAGGCATCATTCTGTCATCATCGCTGTCTATCATTCCACCATCCCCAGTTGACCCTTCATCTTCACTGCGAGACCTACTTTCACTTTCACTTTGACTGGAGCTACTCAAGCTTGTTGAAGTGAAGGGTTTCCGCTTGACAGGTGACGAGCCCCTATTGCCTGAACTTCCCCTAGATGCATCCCTCAATTTACGGTGGGCTTCTGGGTCCTGCTGCTTCAACCGTTTTGCTCTCAGCTCATTCAGCGCATCATCCTTGGCAGCTGCCCTGTCTGCAGATCTAGCAGATGACCTCACACCCCGAGAGGATGATAGAGGAGGAGTGTCTTTTGTGGAGCGTGTGCTCCTCTCATTTTCTCTCTTTGACCTAAATTTCTCCGTAAAATTCTTATCACCCTTCTTATCAGCACGTTCTGCCAATATCATCTCTCTTTGAAATTCAGTCATCCCGGCAAGCTTTTGCCGGTCTTCTTCATTCTTATAAAGATCATCACCAAAATCAGATTCATCGCTGCTCTCATCCTCATGACCAGAACCACCATGATCATAACCACCTTCTTCCTGGCTTCCATGATCATCCTCTCTCTCTGGGGGGTCCAACCTCTTCTTTAAAGGAACTTGAGATCCAGAAGGTTTCCTGTTTGCATAAGCACGATCATCATCAGAATCATCCCTCGAATCGCTTCCACCATCAGAATATGAACCCTCACGTTGCCTTCGAGATGATGGATGAGAGTTCCGGTTTCTGCCTCCAGCATTGGTTCTTCCTGCTGCCTCCAGAAGCAAATTTTCCAAATCAGCCATGATCAGCGATATCCCCTATATGTGTCAGAATTTTAACTCCTGAGAAAATGAGAAAGTATTAACCAATGACATCTGCAGTCATTAAGGGGGAAAATGATTAACATGTAAGCTGTATCATTGTGTATAACTAAATTATCAATCAAGTAAATAAAATGCACATATATATAAAATTTTGACTTACCGAAACACCTATGCTCTATTATAAGCTTATACATCAGGATAAATCTATATTGATCTTAATAATCCCCAAGATCAAAGTCCTACAATTAGAGTAGAATAACAAAAGAACCAAATAACCAACTCCCTTTGGGATGGGAAAAAGCTTAAGTTTCTTTATCTCTTAGGAAATCGGTGCAGAATAGACTAGTGAAGATTACCTAAATAGATTAGAAATTATAATGTAAAACTACTATGCAATTCAGGAACCTATTATTGAAGTTTTAATAACTTTAGGATTTTATTCTTATTGATATTTTAGGTTTTCCTATTTATATTAGCATATATTCCTGTCATTATTAGGACTATAAGTTTTAGTATTTCTTTTTTTTTAGATAAAAAGTATGAACAGTATATAGTTGTTATAGCACCAATGGGGTGCAACCCAGGTACAAAAAATATTTACAGCTCGGTTAGACTATCCATGACATGTCCAAAATCCTCAATCCTATACATGCCGTGCCCCAAGAAAATACTGCCAAAATAATGATAGCAACTATCCTTAATTTTCACAATATCACTCTCCACTCCTTCAAATGTTCTCCTATTTCTCTCTTTCCAAACCAGACAAAGAATAGTCAATAGAATAAGTTTTATAGATTTCTTCTTTTTACAAACCCCACCACACGCCCAATAAGTTTTAGTATTTCTTAGTCTAATCCTACTTATTAAAGATTACTTAGAGAGCACTATAAATATCTTTGGGACATAATTTAATTATTCAATAACATATTTTGATAGCTTATCAAAACTTGATTGCGTGATTCAATCAAGTTCAGGTGTGAAACTAAGAAACTTTAGGTGGTATGTCTAGGTTTTTATCCTCAAAATTCCTAATCGGACATAACTACCCTATTTATCCTAAATCAAGAAAGACCCTTAACTAGAGCAGAACAGTAAAACATCTCACTTAGTCTTTTTAAGATCAGAATGGTTATTTGCACTATACAACCAACTCAAACCTAAAATTTCTATCACAGCGACTTCAGAATTCATATCCAAACCATCAAAATAGTTGATACACGAAAGAACTTAATGCACACCTACACATTAATGCTACACAATAGACTCGTCAAAAAATGCATAAGGCACATTTATCAGGAGCCAGGAAGCAATAAGAACTAAAATATGGAACTGGAAAACAATAAATTCAACATGTGCAAAAGTAGTATTCTCCTTCCCTTCAAATTTTAGGGAAAAAGCTTACCATATTAAGTCTTAGAAACAAAGAAAGAACAAAACCAAGAACAAAATATATTAACCAACATGAGGAAAATCTGGTTATATTTGGATTGTAACATCAACTGTTCCCCGTCCAGAACAAAAATTCAGAAATTAGAGCAAAATCATCAAGTCAACTCTACCCTAAACATGTAAAAAAGAAACCGGTGCGAAAGATTGAACATTCAACAGATTTATCCAACAACAAGAAGAAACAAGAAACTATGGCAAAATAACCAGAGCTTGTAACTTAAATACAAAAATAATAAGAAAAATAATCAAATCATGCTGAAAAACAATGTCCCTCCTCCCCTCACATAAACTTCAGATTTTAAGTTCCTAAAACACCAAACAAACACCGTGCCCAAAATAGTAACCTTCAGTTCCCTCTTCTATTTTATCACTTCCCAAGCGTCCAAATAAACAAAGAAGAACAAAGCCACCATCTTAATCGGACTTACTTCTTTTTTAGATAATTAATCGAACTTACTTTAACAACAACAAAAAAATGAAAATAAACAAAAGCTTAACAATGAAACTACAAAATCTTAGCAGACAAGAATTAACGGGAGAAATGCTATCTCTTCTTTTAAAAATCAAATAAATGTATACAAGAATTAATTATATAAAAAACCAGGAAGAAGAGAGACCAGTCGAGTTTGTAGATCGAGATATCAAAGAAGATGACCTAGAATTTTATTGTTCTGGTTAGCTGTTGGGAGAGAAAATTCTTCTGCAGACGATCAAACCAAGCGCGAGTTTCTCGAATCAAGCCAAAGTTCACGCTTCGTGCAGGAGAAAGTCGAGAGATGAGTTTCTGGAAAGTACGTGGCAGCTGATTTGATGCCGGTTACAGAGAGAAGAAACGAAGGCGAAGCGATGCAGAACAGATGCGTGCCGGTGAGGTACAGTCGGTAGGAACCAGCCCCCTGAAGAAGACATTGAAGAGATGAGAGAAACGAAACCCTAAAAGATCATTCGAAATACTATTTTATATATTTTCGCTTTTAATCAAACAAAAAATGTAAATTCATAATATTATAGCAAGACAATTACAAATATCAAGTAAATTATGTATATATATATATATATATTGGAACACATAATATTTTTAATTTACTAGTGAAGAATTAAACTTAAAATCATATCCAAACCATCAAATAACTCAATATCATAATCACCTTAATGCATATTAATCTTTAATATTATAAAGATTAGGGTTTTGAAATTTAATTTAACCAAATGTATAATGTATAAATCTTTCGTATTAAGAATGGTAAGGTTTCGAAAGATATCACGTAATATATATATATATAATGATCAAATAACATGCATATAATCAAATAAAGTTCGATGTAAAAATGAACAACATGTCAACATCTCCTAGTAATGTTAGAGGGGACTAATGAACGGTCGAAAACTTGAATATCTTTTTAAATATAAATTTTATACAAATATAGAAAATATTAAATAAATTTAAATGGTATAAGGGGGTCAATGAACTTGTTTATGTTAATTTTCTATTAAAAAAATTTTTTATTAAGAAATTATTAAACTAAAATAATAATAAATTTAATATAAAATCTAACATGTGATTTTTTTCCTTTAGATAAAAAGATTTTTTTTTCCATAATCATCTCTTTCTATATTTTACTTTAGAATATAACATGCTTAGAACACATTTGATTATATCTTCTAATTAGTATACATCTCTCCAAAATACTAACTTTAAAGTTTAATATAGTAAAAACTTCTTCTATTTTTGTTTTTTTTTTTAAAAAAAAAAATTAGTAAACATTGTTTGAGTATTTGAATTGATTTTGATAGTAACAAAATTTAATATTTTACTGATATTTATTTATAAATTTACTGATAGTAAAAATAATATAAATTAAAAAATAAAAAGGATGAACCGTAAAAGATTACAATGATAATAATAAAAAAAAAACGATTTAAAAAATAATTATTTTACTTTTTATAAATAGACTATTCAATTTTGAAATTTTTGAAATTTTTTTGTTCTTTGCAATTTGCTCATAAACTTACTTTGAAAATTATTGCTTTGGAAATATTTTCTTTAATTTTAAAATGTTAGTTTATTTGAAAAACAAGTTCTGAAAAAAAATCAAAATAATGGAAATTCTTTTTAAATTCTCCAAAACATTAAAAGACTTTTTGCTTTAGTTTGTTTTATTCGTTTCAAGTACAAATTTATTTGATTTCGCACGATATAAGAATTAACTCATTAATGTGTTAATAAAACCACAGTGGCCGAATTAAATTTCATTACAACAAATCATGATATATTCAAACAAAAAAAATATTCTTTTAATAATTAAATTTTTTTACCCTAATTTTTTTTATATTTAAAAAATATTCATACCCATATATGTAATTGACACCCAATTTTCTTAATGGAGTAAGTAGCTCACATGTTCTTACATCATCTCAGATTAGTGTTGACCTTTACCTGAGTGCCATTCTGATTATAAAAAATTAATATTTACATATACCTACAATATCCATGTTTAAAATTTTACCAAACAAACTTTACATAAAAAAAATATATACACACACTATGCATTATTCAAATAAAAGATAAGCAACCCAAAATCACCAATCACCATGATTTATAACCCATCTCAACCAGCAAAAATTAAATGAGAGTACTCCTAGAATTTAAAGATTACTCCCCAAACAAGAAAAGGAAATCACATAAAACCATTTACCATTCTCGAATCTCTATTTACAATAATCTTTTTGAAACAAACAATAATCCCTTGCAGAGGCATGTACGCTGGAAACGGGTAAAAAAAATTACATATAAGATATACGTCAGTAAGAAAATTTTGATTCTACTATCATTTCTGTATACAAGCAGCGAAGCCTGCACCATGATTCGATTAAAGAGCTATAAAAGAATACTTAAGGAAGGAATGAAACAAAAACTGTTAATCAAAGAAAAAGAGAAGGGGTGGAGGGATGGATAGATGGAAACAGGTCAATCAGACTATAACACAGGCCTGTAGTCGGATCTGATACAATATATGCTGCAGAAATCCCAGCCTCTTGGGCACTGGCATCATGTAATAACCTAAATCTAATCTACAAGGGCTGAAGGCTGAAGCTGTACAAGAGAATCTTCATTTCTCAACTTCTCATGGCTCCCTACATGACTCGATTACTTCACTAACAGCTTTATGAGTCTCCGGTGAGATCATGTTCAAGGTCAAATGAAATGCCTGAATGGAAGGGGAAAAAGTAGGAAATGAGAGAAATGAAGAACAAAAAGGAGCAGAATCAAGTTCTCAAGCAAAACATAACCATTTCATTTCCAAACCTTCACCATTCTATGGGTTCTCAACAAATCAATCAAGCCAGGGCATTCAAATCAGCAAACAGACCAACCAATTTTCATTCTCTTACATATACTATTTCTCTTGATATTAAGAAATATATAGATAAGGAATACAACCAGCTACAAACAAGGATTAAGTAATGGGATGTCTACAGGGTTTTCCATCAACCTGTAGGTAATATTTCATTGATGATCAGCTAATAAGTTGAAGAGACATACCACAAATTTCTCTAGCACAGGCACCAGAATTGCCAGATTGCGATTTGGGAGACAATCAGAAATTGCATTCCGTATACTCTTACTGTCAGGGGAAAAAAAATTGATTTCAATAAGGATTACAATCAGAAAGGTTTGTAAAAGTTAGAGAATATAAACCTCTCAGTCGAAATAAATGCAAGTAACAATGCTGCATAAGCTTCCACAATCATCTTCTCTGCTTCTTTCTCCCCTTGTAACAAAGCTTCCTCATCATTCTGCACAACATTTGTAACAAATGCAGACTTAGAACATGCCAATCATGATTAAATTCCTTCAGCCTCCTAAGACAACTAAGGTGCTTATGATTTGCAGCCAATTTGATTGAGAAAATCAAAGTTTAATACAATTGATGCAGCCAAATGAATGAATAGAACATATTGAGCTTTGCACTGATGTTATTCTTCTGATTTCTCTTCTCTTATATGATAAAAGAGGGATAACCTACTATTACATTCTATCTCATAGAGAGAAATGGAAGGTAAATCCTTGCTAAATAAAGTAGATGCTAAATTGGTTAAGAAACAGGACAGAACTTACAACCAAGAAATATGATTACATATATGTCACTCACCCATGAGACCAGGTTCTCTTCTCCAGCTGGGTCAACTGCTCCACGGTTGGCAAGAAAGATAGAACATAGTAGTGGAATTACATCCCTGTGATTCTCTTCTTCCAACCCCTCTGAATTAGGTAACGAAACACTTGCTGCTGCAAGCCGTGATCTGTAATGAATCACCTAAAACGTTTAGCTGAAAAAGAAATGGTACATTTGCATGCTACATGCTAGTAAAGGTCAATGTATAAAATATCAACAACAACTATGTATACAGACAGACAATGATTGGCAAAGATTAACCTGTTGCATCCATCTTTCTCTACCAAGTTTACAAGCAAGCCCAATATTGCAACAAGGAGATCTGACTCTTGCTCAGTAAGATGTTTATCCTTCTGAAGTTCAGGTTCAATGCTCAAACTGTTCTCATCCGTTTCATTGAAGA